GCAATAACAGCTATTTTAAGAAATATATCAAAATACTTTATTAGTAATAATTTAAAAGTATTTTGATATATTTCTCATAATAAAGTAAAAATGAATTAACATAAAATAATTTAAAAAATAATAAATAATAGTTCAATAAAAGGAATATGTTTCAAATAGCATTTCAATATTCCCAGTTTGGCATACATATTATATTCTCTTCAATATTCGCCGTTTGGTTATTTTAAGAGAGCGTATGTTTACAGATTCACCGCTGTTATAAAAGCGAAAAATGTAATTTGTTTCTCGTGCATCTGTGGTGAACTCCTTGATAAATTCCTACAAATTGTTCGCTATCGAACCTGCACCTTCTCATTGTTTTAAGTTCTCTGATTCAACACCTAATAGAAGACTGCCCAAAATTAGAGTACGTCCACTTAGAACTATACAACCCTAACTTAAGAGAATTGTTAACAAATGTAACTCATTCAAATGTAAAAGAGTTTATAAAATTTTTTTGTAAATTAAACATCTATTTTGAAGTGTGATAAAGTAAACAAATTAGTTTTTAGTATGTATTTTTCCTAATAAGTCATGTGTAATTATATTATCCTTTTAAACAAAATAGTAATAATAATAATAATATATTCTCTTCAATATTCGACGGTTGTTAAGAGAGCTGTATATGTACAGACACCCCGCACCTTTTCGTCCATTTACATTCTCTGTTTCAAGTGCATTGTGTGATAGCTAATTTAAAAAAAAAAATTTTTCTAAGGTCAATTTTATGTAGGGTTGATCGACAATATCAACAACAACAACGAAATAGGAACTGATCGAATTTTTTCCCGTTTTCTTTGCATGCGGTTAGTTTGTTGCAACTTTTAACGAAAATTGACGACGTTCACTTTTATTGTGGTGAGTTGAAAATTTTGAGGTAAATTTCAAGTGCATTGCTTGATAGTTAAATTTTTTACCATTTCAACAGGACTTCAATTCGAGAGATAATTTATTCGTGTATTTTGGCAATACCCATTACTTCCTTTATTATTAGCGTTATTTTTATACCCTGAATAGAGTATATTAAGTTTGCCATGAAGTTTGTCCCAGAATGAAACATCGGAGACCCTATAAAATATATACATAAATGATCAACATGATGAACTGAGTTGATTTAGCCATGTCCGTCTGTCTGTATATATACGAACTAGTCCCTATTTCATCATGCCTTACCGTATATCGCTTACAGGGATAGTACAGTGACAAAGAAATAGAGAAAATATTCAATTGAGTAGAACACGAAATGTTAATAATACTACAAATTAAAATTTAATTAAAGTTGATGATAATGTTAATAATAGTTCAGTTCCTTCCCGATTTTCAAATATGCATTGGTAGAAATACCGCCTTATTGTGATCTCTTTTATATTGGTTCTATGAGCTTAATTTGTTGGCATTGTTTAGCTAAGCACTTTGCTTCGGAGTCTACAATGCGTAAATTAAATTCCTTCACTATGTGTTGTTATAAGGATAAAGTTCATCTTCCACTATTAACTCAAAACAATTTTTTTACAACACACCATAACACCGCGCGTGTACATCACTAGCTAACAAAAGGGATGGACCGAGCAGCTTTTTCACCTCATTTAATACGAATACGAACACGATCCAGCGCGCTACCTTCTTTCGTTATCTACATGCGATGAAACAACGATTTTTTCCGTGTCTACTAAATCGGCAGCTCTACAAGTGATTTCGATATACATATTTGGATCCTCGCCGCCTTATTCGTCAACTTTACATTTATTAATTTAATTACTAATGTACATATATATTATATATCGTAATATAGTGCACGAATAAACAGAATATATAAACATTTGATTTAAACACTAATTGCGAGGTTTGGTGCATTATAAATATCTTATTTACGGTGTTGAATGTACTCTTCAATAAATTGGATCCCTTATTAGTCAGATAGAGATATGAAGAAAAGTTCAAAAATTATTTCGACAATATTCAAAGGTACAGTGCGGCCTATGCTATGGTCTGTTCGGAAGCTAATATTTCTGACACAGTTTTAAGAGGAGTATTTCATTTTAAAATTCACGACGTATTTTATCACAGAGCAAGACCTATGGTCACAGCATAAATCAGTCGATTGTAGGTCTCGTTGTTGTTTTGATTAAAACTACCTACACATCTTTCTAATGAAAGCATTGCAAGAAGCTGCTTACATATTTAGCTTATTAAGTAAATGGGACTAGCTAATGTGCACAAACAAATATTCATGTAATTGCGTGGACGAAAACATAGCGGTAGCATAAGTGTACAAAGCATTGAGGTGAATGACTTCTAATGCTTGCCCTTGAATATTAATCTAATAAGTAGAGAACAAGAAATAGCAAAAATATATGGAACATATGACAGTATAATGCAGTGTTTCTCAATCGGTGACCCAACAATTGCGATTTTTAATAACTAAATTAAGAAAATATAAATTACACTCACAACAAAATATTTAAAATAAAGTACAAATTAAAAAATTTATTTCGGAAGTAAATATTTATCTAATCCGAAAAAAACACTTATATATTTATTTAGTATTAACTATCATTTATCACTGCGTTTAAATCAGTTTACACTGAGAAAATTTTAATCAACTTTGACACATATAGTAATAAATAACATAACAAAAATGGTTAATGGTAAAAAAAAAATAAAAGAATTACACCTGTAGGAGCTACACGCTCAAAACAAGTTGCCAAATTCATTTCTGAGAGTGACAAATCAATACAATACCGCACTCGATTTTCATTTTCACCGATTCAAGACAACTCTGAATCGTTATTAGAAATAAAAAAGCAAAATATTAACAATTTCTGGACTCGTCTCCAAGCGGCTCATGACGCCATAGTAGAAACTGAGTCATCAAATCTACCACAAAAATTTAAAACCTCGCCTTTCGTCAAGTATGAAAACTGCTTAGACCAGTACGAATCTACAAAAGCTATGATTTCCGCTCAGTTAAATTTAATAAAAGCTATTGCACCTACTCCACATCCGAGAGTAGAGCTGCCAAAAATTCAAAATCAAGAGGCAAGTTCAGGCATCCATCTCGAGGTGCCCGCATGTGACACAGAAATATTCAATGGAGGTTATGAACAATGGCCGTCTATCCGGGATATGTTTACAGCCGTTTACATGAACCATCCAAAATTATCAAAAGCGCAAAAATTGTATCACCTCCGATACAAAACAAAAGGTCAAGCAGGCGCAATAGTGAAATAGTTCGCACTTATGACGACAATTTCAATTTGGCTTGGGAGGCTCTTAAATCAAGAAACGAAAACGAAAGAATATTGATCGATAAACAAATATCTATATAAATGATTTTGCCAAAAATTCAAAAGGAAACAAGTGAAGGATTCATCAAACTTCAATCCACTGTTTCAAATTGTTTGTCGATTTTATCGACACAGAACATTCCAGACAGTTGGGACCCTCTACTGGTAAACATATGCACCGCCGCATTACCAGAAAAATCATTACTATTATGGGTACAATCGCTCTCATCACGAAGAAAATGACCCACATGGCAATAAATGAAAGATTTCTTAACTACCCAATACGAAATCGCAGAAAGGGTAGCCAAAAGATAGTCAGAACGAAAAGCGTTCAACACGACTTAAATAGAAGCTTCAATAGACCCCAAGCCAGTAACAACAATAATTTAAATAGAAGCTATTTTAAAAAATCCCCCACTGAACCCTCCTCGAGGGTGCCGACTGGTAATAGATACCACAGATTCACGACACAAGCGGGGTAGCTGGTAACAGTCCGCCCCTGCCGTAGACGTGAGGAATCTAGCTAAGGTCAGACTTCTTATCTGTGTGTTCGATGTTCCTCAATAGCAAGCATACAGATAAGGAGCTACATGGTCGGAGAAAGGTGGATCAAAGGTGTCATGCGACCGTGCCGAGGATCAACCTGTGGGGCCTTAAATAGCCAGTCTCGAACGAGCTTACGGATACCTGCGCCCACCGTAATAAGATAGCCTACTTGCGCAACGGGGCTATGAGCAAGTGGACATACTTTCCCCACACTCGTGGGACCAACAATGAACCAAACGCAATAAACAAAAACAACAAATAACGAAAACAAAAATCGGAGAGCCGGATCTCCAGGAAAAAGCCGGAGGAGCGAGTTGTCCATAAAAGAGCAGCGTTTGGAGAGCTCAACAAACACGAAAGAGACAGAGCGAAGCTTGGTCCTAAGACAAGGCAAGCACTAGTAAAGGGGCAGAAGCTAAAGCTGGCCACAGAATAGTGGTAGCGCCGGAGGCAGCCAGACAAACCCTGCGGCCAAAACACGGCTGAGAAGCAAGGGGAGGGAGAGATGGAAAAGGGGCTGCTGCCGAAGTGCATCTGAGGGAGTGGCCTGCATTTGCAGCAGGAACCGTCAAAGACAAAATATGCGGAGAGACGACGCCCGCATACTTACTAAGGTTGGTAGAGCTAAAGCCGCCAACGAAAGAGGAGCTAACGCAGGAGCTCCAAGCATCGATTGACTGCGCGAGAGCAGTCAACCCAACTTCAGTGGAGCCGCCGGTAAAGGCAGCCAAGGCGACAGAGGTCAGCTGAAGAGGCAAAGCCGTCAGCTAAGAGAACGACGACCAAGGGTGTAACGCCCGCAAAATCATATGCAGAGTGGCCCGGAACCGAATTGTTTGGCGTTCGGATGAGGGAGATCCCGAAGAAAGAATGCCCAGAGCTCAATGGAATGGTGCAGGCTGCGCTGACAAATGTGGCGCTGGAAGTGCTATTAAGCCAATCCGGGTCCGCCACGTCAATGCGCAGATGCCGCTGGTACCAGGGCCAGATCAAAATGATTGTGCGATGACGAGAGATCGGTCGATCTATACAAGTGCTATAGCCAGGTGGAGAGATATACCCGGGCAAATTGGTAGCAGTGGACAAGAAGGACATACCATCCAGACCAAGGGCAAGGGTATGGATTCCGGCTACACCATCACAGCCGGACCAAATTATGCAGCTCATAAGAGCCTGCAACCCGAGCCTACCCACGGAAGGGTGGAAGTATGTCAAGACATTTGAGGACAGCGTAGCAGAATCTGGCGTGGAGACCAAAAGGGCCACGATGCAGATTCTACTGTTATTAACGAAAGAATCTATCGAACCGCTGGTGAAAAGTGGCGGGGAGATAAATTACGGGTTCACGAAAGTAAGGATAACGCCTTACAAGTCGGACGCCGATGCTGCAGACCATCTGGCATCGGGGAAAGAGTTATGCGAAGTAGAGGAAGATCCTATGGAGTCCTCGAGCGACGCGGAAAGTATGGAGCAAGATGAGTGTTCTTCTTCCGAGTCTGAGCTTGCGGCCAGACTCTCAACCTTGTATATTGAGAAAGAGCTTTTAAGCGACTCTCAGGAAGACGCAGATATAGCAATAGTTAATGCGTCTTCTACAAATTAATCTCCATCATAGCAAACTAGCTTCAGCAGCCCTAATTAACCGCGTGGCAATGGAACAGCCTGAATTTGTCCTCATTCAGGAGCCATTGGTTAATGGAGGGCGTATTTGCGGACTGAGGACGCCGAACTATAAGTTGCTGATGGCTAACTGTGAAGGTAAAATCAGAGCCTGCATAATGGTAAAGAAAAACCTTAATGTTTTTATATTACATAATTACAGCAACAACGACACAGCAGCAGTAAGCTGGAAAACGGGCTCAAGCAGTTACCGGCTAGTGTCGTGCTATATGCCGTATGAGTAGGAGCTGGTGCCACCTCTGATGGTAAAAGAGGTGGTACGGGATAGCGAGGCATCCAAGTGCATGACGATACTTGGATGCGATTCAAATGCGCATCACACAATCTGGGGCAGCACAGATGTAAACGACAGAGGTGACTGTCTCTTTAATTACCTACTAGGTACTAAATTACTGGTGTGTAATAAGGGAAGCACTCCAACATTTATTACAAGAAACCGACAAGAAGTGCTGGATATCACACTTGTGTCGGAAGAACTAATTGACAGGGTAACCCAATGGAGGATTCTCGAAGAACATTCCTTTTCGGATCACCGATATATAGAATGTACAATAGAGGAAAGGGCCGATAGAGGCATTAACTTTAGGAATCATAGGAGAACGAACTGGCAGGGGCACATGCAAGAGCTAGAGAAACGTATCCCTATAATTCTACCGTTTCAGCCCAATAGCAAGGAGGATCTAGATATCCTCGTTAATCGACTCACGGAATCGTGCCGGCAAGCACTAGAAGTGGCTTGTCCAACAACACGAAGCAGGGGTAGAATAAGGCCCCCCTGGTGGTCTCTAGAACTTAAAAAGCTACAGAAAGAATGCAGAAAGCAGTTCAATTTAGCTAAGCAATCCCAAGGCGAGTCAGACTGGGATTATTATTACAACCTCCTTAGGTCATACAAAAAAGAAGTTAGGAGAGCAAAAAGAAATTCATGGAAATCATTTTGCAATGACATCGAGAACACGGCGGAAGCGTCTCGACTTAGGAAAATAATGGCACAATCGGTGCATAGTATCGGTTATCTTCAGAAGCCAGACCGAAGTTGGACGGTATCCAGTGAAGAGTCCTTGGGGCTACTAATGGATACCTACTTCCCAGGCAGCTCTGAAACCCATACTGCAGAATATACTCAAGACAGTGGAGCAGAAATGAGCCCCACTCTCATAAACATAGTATCAGAAAGCAACGTACGCTGGGCAATAAACAGCTTTAAGCCCTTTAAGTCGCCGGGATCAGACGGTATATTCCCGGCTCAATTGCAGCAGTCGCAGAATTACATAATGAATTGGCTAATTGCCATTCTTAAGGGGGCGCTGCAATTAAACTACATCCCTTCACTTTGGAGGGAGGTCAAGGTAATATACATACCAAAGGCAGGCAAAAGCTCGCATACAAGTCCAAAGGACTTCAGGCCAATTAGCCTCTCCTCTTTCCTTTTAAAAATCCTGGAAAGACTAATAGAATTACATATAAGAAATAAACTGAAACCAGAAAAGTTGGCTGGTTCGCAGCATGCGTATTCTAAAGGAAAAGCACTAAGCACTGTGGTGGCGGAGATTGAAAAATCTCTGGAAGTCAAAGAATACACTCTATTTGCCTTCTTAGACATAGAAGGAGCCTTCAATAATATCCAGCCTAGGGCCATACTGAGTGCGCTTAAGGATCTGGACATCTCTGAACCTCTCAGGAAATTAATTGAACAGATGCTCACGAGCAGGTCAATAATTTCAACGATATGAGCGTCAACGATGTGCAGATCTGTCCAAAGAGGTACACCTCAAGGAGGCGTGTTATCCCCACTTCTCTGGGTCCTGACAATGAATAAGTTGCTGATGGATCTAGAAAAGAAGGGGGTACATGTTGTGGCCTACGCTGACGATGTGGCAGTATCGGTCAGAGGCAAATTTCCGAATACTCTCGCAGACCTTATGCAAACGATATTGGACGATATAAATCGCTGGGCAGTATCGTGCGGATTAAATTTAAATGCTGGTAAGACAGAGCTCGTATTGTTCACCAGAAAACATAATGCTCCAGAAGTTACGGCGACAATAATAAATTGTTGCAGACTAACAATTGGAGATAAGGCAAGCTACCTGGGACTAATCTTAGACAGGAAGCTTTCTTGGAAACAAAACTTGAATGCTAGGGTGAAGAAGGCAGCCACAGCACTCTACACCTGTAAAAGGATGGTGGGCCCCAAATGGGGACTTACACCTCGGGTAACTTATTGGCTCTATAATGCAGTTGTCAGACCAATAATGACTTACGGTATATTGGTATGGTGGCCAAATACGTGGTAAAGCGTATGGAAAGCATACAGAGAGCAGCCAGTATATGCATTAGTGGAGCTCTTAGAACAACGCCAAGCCAGGCTCTTAACGTCATTCTACATTTACTGCTAACAGACCTGTTCTGTAAACAAGTGGCGGCAAAGTCAGCTCTTAGACTGAGGGAATCCTCCCAACTAGTCGCATGCAACAAGGGGCATTCAAGCATACTCAGTATATTGCCGTTCCTACCCAAAACCACGGATTTCCACAATTCAATAGAACGGATGCTAAATTCGGTCCACAATATTGACTTCCCCACAAGAGAGGAGTGGAAAAGGGGCGAGGTGGACAGGAATACAGGAATTAGCATCTATACGGATGGATCCAAACTGGATCATCGAGTGGGAGGTGGTGTCTTTTGCGCAACATTAAACACCAATATCGCCTTCCGTCTTCCAGGCGGAGATCACAGCAATTAAAGAAAGCCTAGTGGTATTGACAAAAAGTGTGCTCACAGCAAGGAGCATATATATATATATATACACGGATAGCCAAGCGGCATTGAAATCACTCAAGTCTCCAATGGTCTCATCCAAGCTAGTGAAAGATTGTTTTGATCTATTAGAGGATCTGACATCCTACTTCACAATAAACCTGCAATGGGTTCCAGGACATAGCGATATTCCTGGTAAGTGCGAAGCAGATGAACTAGCCAGAATAGGCACCACTTTGCATTTAACCCCTGAAAAAGAGGGTATCTTTATGCCTCTGGCAACTTGCAAACACTTAATCAGCGAACATGCTATAAATATAGCTGAGTCTCGGTGGAGACAATCAATAAACTGCACAACCAGCAGACTAACGTGGCAGGAATGGAGCGTGAGTCGCACAAACTGACTACTAAAATTCAAAAGAAATGACATAAGAACTCTGATAGGAGTACTAACAGGTCACTGCCTAATTGGTAGACATGCAAGTAGGCTAGGTGTACCATACAACGACTATTGTAGAAGCTGTCAAGAAGTAGAGGAAGAGGAGACTGTAAAGCATCTTCTATGCGAATGTAAAGCTCTATATAGGAAAAGAATCGCAACTATCGGTCGTGGATTCCTTGACGACGTATCAGAAGTTGCTAATATAAAATTATTTGTACTGCTGAACTTCATCAGGAGCACAGGTTGGTTCAGAGAGGAGATGATAGAGTGAGGGAACATTAGTCCCGGTGGTATCACAATGGGTCTCCTATAGGCCTAGGTGCTTCATTGGACAGCCACTCAACCTACCTACCTACCTATTTTAAAAATCAGTCGTTCACATCGGAACTATATAAACAAACGTCATGCGAACTTTGCACAAGAGGGCATCAACTAAAATCTTGCGAGAAGTTTAAAAACTTAAAAATTCACGAAAGAAACAATTTTGTCAGATCAAAGAGACTTTGTACAAATTGCTTGTCACATACGCATACTCATAAAAATTGCAAAAGCAACTTGAATTGCATCTACTGTCAAAAAAGACACCACACGATGCTTCACTATAGCACATTCCACAGATCACTCCAAAGCCGCGCATATATTAGTACAAAAAGAACCACGGGTTTAGTTTCAACTGCAAATCCCGAAAGCCACAATACCGAAAATTGCCAAATGACACCATGTTGCTCCAATTCACAAAACACTCAAACGCTACACAGCGAAATACAAAATAGGGTATTACTATCAGCTACACAGCTGTCATCTCCATCTCCATCGAGGAGAACTCTACCAACTTAGAGCCTTAATAGACCAAGGATCACAACGATCTTTCATAGCGTCTAGGGCACAAAATAGGCTACAACTGCCAACAAAACAAGCCAACTTTGAAATTACAGGAATGGGCGGAAGAGTAGTCCAAAACTCAAATAAAATCTGCCTCATTGCCCTAATTTCCCTCCAAGCGGATAAGCAACTTGTAGTAGAAGCTATAGTCCTACCGCAACTTACTAAAATGCTTCCAAGCTATCACATAAATAGCAAGCATTGGCAAAAGGTTTCACACCTAAAGCTAGAAGATCAAAGTCATCCAAATATATTACTAAATAGACCAAAAGATTATTTGTTGGACACTAATTTCCTTAATATCGAAAAGGAAAGTACAACAAAAACTCTGGGGATCCAATGGAATGCAAACATCCCACCAGTTTTCATACACTACAGAATCAATATCAGCATTATCCGCCATGACAAAACGCCGAATTTTATCCTCTGTTGCAAAACTTTTCGACCCCGCAGGATGGCTTTCGCCCATTATGATACAAGCGAAAATCCTGATATAAGAATTATGGCTTGACGAACCCATGTGGCACGAACAAGCGAGAAATATCCGCTTAGAAAACTGATCCCAGTTTGCACATAATTTAACCGCAATTTCGCAGATAAAAATACCACGTTGGGCGAACTACATATTCCCACATTACCAACTCAAACCAGACTGATTCGGCGATGCCTCCCCCGACCACTAATAATAGTTACCCACATTCTCACATACAATTCAACAATAAAGTTTAGGGATTACCATACTCCCAATGCGATGCAGTACCTCATCTTACAAAAATCATAGAT